CCCCAGGGCCCTGCCACCGAGGAGCTTGTTGAGCACCTCAGGAGTAGGGGACGAGGTCCCTTACTCTGGTTTCCCTCGGTTTCATTATTGTTGTATCTGTTTATTTGGCTGAATTTTGCAACTTTACTTGTTTTTATGTGACCTCTGCGGCCCAAAATACTGTTCGCACTAAAATGTTATCCTAATTTAAGGGAAACTGGTCGTTTTGCCCAAGTTTTTTTATGATGAAAAATGGCAAAATTTTGGCATTTTGTTTTTATTTTAAATGAGAAATGATTGTTTTTATTATAAAAACTTTTTTGCTCTGTTGTTAATTTAATGCTTGTCTTATTAAATTAAACAGCAAACTGAGCATCATTTTAAAGCTAAACAACATTAGCAAGTCTGTGATTTCGTTACAAGGTTAAAGTTTTATTTTATAAATTAATAGAATTGTATATAAATCCGTATCACACTGAGTGATTTTCCAGCTTCAGCTGTGTTTATCGCAGCTACAAGCCCAGCTGTGGTTTTGAAAAATGAGCAGGAATTAGAAGTTTTCAGATTTTTTGTTCTCCTTTTTACTGCAGGTCGAAACAAATTGTGTTTTACAGCACAGGCTTGTGTTACTTTGTGTGCACTGAAGTTAAACTCATCCAGCCTGTATGGCCTCATTAACACTTGAACCATCCTGCAGAGGAACAACAACACTTCTGCTCAGATCCAAACTGTGATCGATGGTGTCTCATTGGGCTGTGTTGAGTTACATGACATCGTTCAAACGTTTTTTCTGTTTTTGACTCTGTTGTTTTCAGTCTAATTATTCCATCTGAGCAGTCACAGCCCATTATATTACATTTAAAATAATTCAGCTTTACGCCACACAAACTTTGAGACAGTTGAGTCTGCTCAACTAACTTTCTTCTGTGCCACAGGAAAAAAGAGAGGTTTTAAAGAAAAYAAATAATGTTTTTGAATAAAGCGTTCAGAAAAAGGCCAAAAACWTGTTTGACARCTTTTCTAAACTCTTATTTTTCTTWAAAAACACTGCAGATTGCACAAAGAGCTTTCCAGTGAAATGCATCAWACAGAAAGAAGTCCTTAAGTGTTTATTTACAGGGGGTTCCCACGATACGAACAAAGAAAAGGTCATCTGATCATGTTCCAGTCTGTTTCTCTGGCTTTGAATCTTCTCTCTGTATAATTCATTTATTTATTTATTTGTTTGTTTGTTTGTTTGTTTGTTTGTTTGTTTGTTTGTTTGTTTTTTTGTTTGTTTG